TTATTTTCTATGGTGGGAAACAGCACATTGTTTTATTTTTTCTCACTAGTAGTTCTATATTTCAGAAATCACAAAAGGTCAGTGCAATGACTGCTAGTAAATGAATATGTCACATACTAGTTTTTAGCTTTCAGGTGTAACATAAAGCTTTTCAGCAATTTCCCGTTGCATATTAGGCCATTTGTTCCTTTTAGTGACTGACCACGATCATTTTGTTAGAATCTTTTAAAATATATAATTCATGAAATGGTGACTTATTGATCTTTGTTGATTTTTATAGTATTTCTAATTTGCTATCTCTTTATGCTGCTGCACAATATTTTAACCCCTTCAGCCTTTTCGTCTGAGCTCTTAGCTGTGTGTCCTGACTGTGGCCTGGCCCCTGAGGCACTGGGGCCACAGGCAGATGGCAGCACAGTGGCGGTCACAGAATGTAGCAAGGTTCTCCATTCAAGGACACATCTGTGGTGTCATTAGCAGAGAGACGAGGGTGAGGGTGTTAAGGTTCTGTAGGGATGTCAAAGCAAAGTCTGGTGTTATTTATAGCTTCAGACTGTGCCCACTGTATCCTACAGTACAGAGGACTACAGTTTATGCAGTCAAAGGTCATTCAAAAGTGCTAATAAGAAGCTAGCAACACTGATCATAAAGCAGCTTGCAGGATCAACTGGCAAGAAAATTAGTACAATAATTTAATGTGTAATATAGAAATGACAAAACAGACTAAAGATGCTCATATCTTATTTTTGTACAATAGTTTGCCAAATAGCACTAAAGCTGCATTCCTGTAAGAGTGTCCCTGAATAAGTATAGTTAGATAGACCAGACAAAATCTCCATCATCATGCAACTCATTCAACAGATGTTACTGCTGTGCTGAAATGATTAAACTCTCAAAAAGTCCCCATTTTTGTTTCAGAAAAGCAGCTAGACTGGCTGTGAGTAAACAAAAAAACCTTTAAAGTCCTCTGTTCAAATGTGAGGCTTTTGTAAAATAAAGAAGAGATAAATAATTTAAACTGGTCTTAATCTATTTAAAGTGAATTATATTCAACGCAGAAATAGCAAAAAGAAAACAGACAAAAAACATTTGTTAGGGGAGAAGCATAAAGAGAAACAAAAACAAACTGTTATCGGCTGAATATGTGAACAAACCTTTAATTTTTTGTAAAATAATTTCAAGAATTCATTTATGTTAACATTGATTATTTGATTAACTCTGAATAAAATCTAGCTCCCAACTTTTGTTTGTTTGCATTTTTCAATTAAAGCCATAGTTTGCTTAAAAAGGATTAAAATGATCCCATTGTAAAAATGTATCAGTCAGGAGAAAGTTACAGTCTAGAACATTACATATAACCCAAGGTATGGTACAGATTGTTTTTATTGCTGTGAAAATAGGCATAGCTCAGGGGAAAATGGACGCTTTCTTTTCATATATAATAATAAAGGAAGATAGAAACTGGTCAGGCACATTGCACCGAGTTACTATCCAACCAGTAGCTTCTATCATTAGAGTCATTATGAGAGTTTTGTTGACTAACCAAAACAAAAGTTTATGCAATGTTTTGACAGGATGTTAGTTTAAAATAAAACAAGACATTTTAAAGTTTCCTCTTGGACCAGTTGCTTTTAAAGCTGAAAATACAAATATTTTTGTAGCTTGTGGCACCTTACATTTATTTAACTGGGTGCTCTAAGTTTTTACAGCACCTCCAAAAGGCATATACAGTACGATATACGAGATGCATCGATCCACTTTTTTTTAAACTTCCCATCCAACTTGGATACTTTGGATATCTGTAGATCTGGATACTTTTTTGGATTTTTTGGATACCAGAGGTCTGTTTGCTTCAATGTTATCATCATGATATTACCTTCTCTCTACAAGCAAGCATGATGATGATATCTAAGAGTAAATGTAAGCATCAGATAAGCATGAATTTTATTGTTTTTACATCCAGAGTAGTGTTACCAGGGCCCCAAGTTGGGATGTTATGAGATGTGAGAAACCTCAGACTTAGTGAAAAATCCTATTAAAAAAGAATAATATATAAGAAATATTAGATGTTATTTATGAAAAGATAGCTCAGATACAGAGGTATTGTCGCATTTACTGTAGTGGTTTATGTTAGCATTTTGATATGTGTGCAACAGATTTGTGTTAATTTCTTTCCTCAAAAATAGTGCTAAGTAGTTTTTCCTTGTGGTGGGTGTTAGAACCACTTTTGATTGGTGTTTTACATAATGTGCTCATATGCAGTCTTGGGAATTAAAAATAACCATTTTTGTTTTTATTCTGTACCAATCATAAACTTCCGGAAAATTTACAAACAGTAACATTTATAACATTCTGTTAATGGTAAAAAAAAAAAAATATGTATTAAATATCCAAAATGTGTAATTTCAATGTTGGAATTTTTTTAGTTCATCTGGTTTTTACACTGTGTCCTCTTCAACTGGCACATTTAAATAAATAAATAAAAAATAAATTAAAGCATTTTAAATGTCTGATTTCAGGAGAATTTGAAGAAGAAAAAGCACACTGATCAAAAGGGGAGAAATGCAGTCTTACAGATTTTAACTGATCTAAGTTTTTCGTTAAACCAAAAAAAAAGGTGCAACAGTCCTTCCTCCCACTGTAATAAGAAACCCACATACTACCATCTTATTTATCTTTTATACATTTTATTTTTTTTTTCTGGGGGGGGTAAAACACAAGTGAAAGTTTTACGGTTCCATCATTAAACCCCAGGGTATCAGTGGCTACAATGTAGCTTGTCACTATTAGTGTGTGCATGAATGGGTGAATGACTGAATGTGGTGTAAAGAGCTTTAGATTAATACGTTTGTAAAAATAAAGAATTTCAAAATAGGACAGATAGATTTCATTTCCCTGTTTTATTATGTTAAAACCAATAAGTTAATTTATAATTTGTAAAAAATAAACGTGCTTCAACTAGTGCTGCCTGCCACTGTATTCAGCTCCTTTTACACTAAGATCCCATAAATAGTATACTGTGCAAATGATTGTTACATACCCTGCGCTCATGAACTAACCTGTGTATAATTTAATCCAACTATAAATGCGATCTGCTTTGTGGAGGCTGAGGGTTTTCATGAAGACTATGAATCACTTTCACTTATAAAAAAAAAAATCACATATGTTGCGTTAATGTCATAAATCTCTTTTGACATCTGAGATTTCCTTTTTTTTTCTGTTTCCTCCCAGTTCCTGTAATCTTTTCAGTTCCAGGAAACCGAATGAAGTGTAGTAAACTGGATATAAAACTTTCCTTCTTCCTATTGTTGTTTTTTTTTATTGTTACTTTGTATGTGTTATTTAACACCACCCAGAAAGCACACTTCTCACATCCATCTGTCAGGTGATCCAGCTTTACCTCATGTAACCTCAGAACTCAAACTGTGTCTCTAGTGTTATACCACCACTGGGTGTGTATTACTTTCCCTACCAAATCTGAAAAGGTAGAAAACAGATTGGACACAGATATTTATTCTCCATGGTCATTTTAATTATTAGTGGGTTTTTTTGCCTGCAGTGGTTGGTTTCACCAGAGAACAGCATCTGGATTAGTAATTTCTCCATTATTCACTTTTTCTCTTGTTTAGATTTGATTTTTGTAATTTCTCAAAGGAGGGCTTTTCCTTGCTTCACTCCTATTTTGTGTACTGGGAAGGGGGATGTGCTCAGTGTCTATATGTAGGGGATATCTGATTGCCCTGAATGTGCTGACAGGGTGGGAAAGTGGGGTGCGGTTACTGGAAGAATACTAACTGGTGCAGTTTTAATATTTTTTTCCAGGTGATGTTAACATATTTACTCCATAATCCCTTTTTTTCTCCTTAACCAGGTTCTAAATTCAGTATTTCTATGATAAGTTTTAAAAAAATTAAAATTATGCTGGGTTTTTTCTATCTCAGGGTGCAGAGATGTGAAGCAATCCTTTGTTCATAGTAGCGTCCTGTTCAGACTTATATTTAAAAGAGGGCATCAGCAAATACTGTTGAGTCATGCATATGCATAACACGTGCATTTAATAAATCCAGTTTATTTTAGCATGTTAATTAATGTAACCACGCAGCACATGCAGTCCATTCATGCATATCCAACACAAATTGTAATGCTTTTTCTCATGTCTACTCATGCGTCTGTATGTTTAACCCCTACTCCTCATTCTGTCACTGCTATCGGTTTCTCTGAATAAACACCCTTTTATGAAAATTGAAGTTGTTTGAGATGCATTATGAATAGCTGCTTTGCGATTGGCCAGAACAGCGTTCCCTGGCAAGCTCTTCCGTATAGCAACAGCTCCCTCCCTCTCTCTTCTTCTTCTCCCATCTTTTCTCTGGAATCTCCCTTTGCTCCCTCCTCCTCCATCCCCCATCAAAAGATACAGACAAACCTCTGTGTGGTCCACCTACCCACAATGCACTGGGTGCTACAACTTGCTTTAGATGAGGTGGCTGTCTGTTTTTTTTTAATGGCGGGGGGTGTCCTTTTCTCTTCTTCACCTTTCCTGTCTGCTGTAAGCTCCAGCCCCAACTCAGTCACCCCCCTCCTCCCCTTTCCCTCTACTCCTTCCTCCCTCTCACTGCTGCGGCAGCATCTGGATGTAGTCACCATGGCAACAGGAGCAGGCCAGACCCCACCTCCTCCTTGTGTCTCTCATCTCACTGCACACACTCTTCATACGCAGACATGCATCTCCCCCCCTCCTTCTTTAAGCCCACCCCCCACAGTCGACTTGCTGTGTTTCCTTCAAGCTTGACCTGTATTCAGCTTCAGACACTTCTGCCAGTGATAATGACGCAGGCACTGATCTGCTTCTAGTAAAAAGAAGGGTTTAAGCCCCCCCTAAAAAATAAAATAGAATGTTAAACGGCCCCTTTCAAATGTTTTTGCATTTCTCTCAGATTCTTTTAAACCAATCTCATATTTTTTGTCTTTTTCTTGTTTCTCCTCTACTCATCCTCCCCCAGTCAGTACCTGCATCCACTTCACCCTACCTACCATGTGCTTCAAAGAAAGAGGCGAAGGTAAAACAAAAGTCAACTGTATCCTGCCTCACTCTGCAACCCCCCCAACCCCCCAGCTGATTATTTGAACAAAGATATAAGCTTCATTAAAGCAGATATTGCTTCATTACTTTCCCTGTTGTGTCACATAGTCATATATAGCTCTGTAAGGATATCTTTGAAACTGGCTGCCTAGTGGTGACGTGTGCACACTGATTTATGGGCCCACACTTTGTCCATTATGAGTCATAGCTGTCATTCATTCAAATGCATATTTCCTGTAGAGAGAATAGAGAGGAAGATATTGGCATGGTTTATGGGGTTCATAACAGCTGGTCTCTCATGCTAAAGTTTGCGTTTGTTTCATTTTACTTGCAGTTCTTATAGTCTGGGCAAAATAAAAATCCTAAAATTGGCCTTTTAATATTTAGATTATGAGTTTTTTCTTTTTGCTGCCTTGTTTTTATTGGGGTTTGTATTTTAGTTTCTCTTCTGTAATTTTTCTCTGTGCAGAAAGATATCAAAGCTTTCTGATAGAAGTTAATAGGATTTCAGAAACAGACTGAAAAGTAATCTAGTGAAAACAGAGCACAAAAAGGAGGACTGCAGCTTAACCAGCCTCTGAAAGATATTTGGAGCAAATATTTATTACATTTCAAAAAAAGAAAAAAAAGAGAATGGAAATGAGAAAAGGGATGTTTGAAAAAAGAAACTGACACAGTAAGTAATACTACTTGTTATCTGAGCCGGAATTAATAATCCACAATGCCTTTCATAGGTATTTTTACTGCTTGAAAGTTTTTTTTATTGGGTTTCACCATTTATGTGAGTAGAATTATGAGCAGTATTGAATTTTTGTAAATCTGAGGGAACATTTTAGCGGATTTTAACTGTTCTATTAATTTTCTTCAACCCCAATACGTAAAACAATTAGTAGAACTATTACTATTGCCAGTGTTTTGGTTCATCTCTTTTCCAGTTTTGCGCACATGTAGACTGATATACTTGCTCTTTATTCTCTGGAAAAAAGAAAAAAATTAATCAACTCTGACATGTAGAACCACTGCCAAGTTTCAGAAAGATGTGTTCAGGGTGATTCAGCAGAATTCTTTTTTTTTTTTTTTTTTACCAATCTATGGGCTTTGCATAAAGTCTGGGAAGGTAAACTTTGTTTTGTTGGACTGATGAAACTTTAAATAACCCTCAAAACTGGGAAGATAGATTAACACAATATTGGTTCAGCATTCTAGTTTCCCACCTGTAAAAGTTCCCACTTTTTATTGTCTTTATATGGCCTCTAGGGTCTCTGTCAAAAAATAATGACAAAAAATCAGTTTATATGTTGAGTCATCTTGCCTGATAACCAGAAATCAGTAGTACACGGACAACTGAATATTTGTCAAGTATATGAGAAAGCAATACCTAAAAGGAGTCAAAAGATTTCTGCAGTCAACTACTGTTTACTAGTGGATATCGACAGCTTTTCCAGCCTTAACATGGTGCTGTTGCTCTTCACTGGTCGGCCAGTGTAAGTGGATAGAAAAGTCTTTGTAGTTACAAGACAATCCAGACTTTTGGATAGTTTATAACCAAACCCAACTTTAATCTTCCACACAACTTTCTCCTTGATCTGTCTGCTGTGTGTATGTCTCCATGATGCTATTTGTTCACTAATGATCTGTAACAAACCTTCATTCACATCTTCATTTATACTAAGTACTGGATGCACTGGATTTTATATTGAGGCGTTTAAAGGGGGCTGATTACAAATATATACAACAGGTTTATTTTTTCCTTTTAAAACTATTGAGTATTGACATCTGCAATAATAAATCTAGATTCATAAACCACAAAAATACACTAGCATTTGTGGTTTTACTGTGACATAATGTGAAAAAGTCTAAAGGACATGAATACTTTTCTAAAGCATTGTATAATTTTTTCATTTAGCAGAAGAAAAGAAAAATCAGAATCAGGAAAAATAAATGATTGTTTTCAATGCACTTGCATGGCTGAAACACCTGTTGGTCACCAGGAGAATTTTTATTTTATAAGGCAGCCTCTGTCGCACCAGAGGTATATTCCCCCCAAAAAATTGGAAAGGCAAAGATATTTATTTTGATAGAGGACATATCGCTTAATGGGTGGGAAAATAACAGCCGTAGGAGAGTGTGCTGTGATTGAATTAGGCTTTCTAATTTAATCTTTTCACAGCACTTGGACTCCATCAGTCCATTCAGTGAGGTGAGCATACTAATTGGGCTCCTGTTTTCTCTCCCCCCTCTTTTCTGTCCCCTTCCTCCTGCTGTCACTTATTCTAATCTCATCCTATCAACTCTAAACCTCCACACTTCCCTCTGTTTCCTTTCTTCAATTTGGATCCTGCTCCTCTATATATGACTGCTATCATGGCATCCACCCCCCAAAAAACCTCTCTTCCCTTCTATGGGCCTCCTCTCTTTCTCCTTTCTCCTTGCAGTAGAACTTGTGGATCAGCAGAGGGTGCTCAGAACAGGCTGCCTGGTAACGGGGGTACATACTCCACCCATCCGACGTAACAGCAAGCTGGCCACCCTGGGGCGAATCTTCAAGCCTTGGAAATGGAGGAAAAAGAAAAATGAAAAACTCAAGCAAAGCTCTACAGGTACAGTATAGGGTGTTAGGGCCAGAGGAAGCCACTTCATCCACACTACAGTAATAATCAAGTAACCCAATTGAGGATTAGCTGTGACCACTTTTAAAAGGTTAGCAAAGAAACACCTAATGAGGAAGTTTGAGTGAAGAGATGTGAAATAAATTAAATAAATGTAAATTTGCTTTAGTCCATGTCAAACTCAAATCCTGCCTGTAAATATCACTGTGGATCAATGCTGATAAAGCCCCACTTCTGACTGCAAACTTTTTAAATTGGGGTTTATTGAAGGAACAGTAATCAGTTTTATATATTTCATTTTCTAATATGCATACCTTATTTTATAAAATAAAATAAAATATTGTATGCATGATATATTAACACATTAGAACACAGCAGTCCCCAGTGAACCTTCATGGATTATGGTGGTATAGGAAAGGGATCAATGGGTTTATCTTCATTCAGGATAACCTGATCAGATTTATTTTGTCCCTCTTACTGATGTCAGCCAGTTGGAATGGCCGTTTGCTGAGAGCCCACCAATAATCCCTTAAAATCAAGGCCATGTACAGTATGATGAACAAGAATTAATCCCCATACTGAATTCTCATGTAACGTAATCACAAACTTATTAATTTAATAAGCAAAAAATGGAGTTGTGTTACACCGTAGCAGTTCAGCCTAATTTTGTTGAAGTGAATAAACAAAAGGGTAAATTGTTCTTGCTAACTGTAAGAGTATAACAGGAGCTGGCAGTCGCCTCATCCTGCATTCCTAGTGCATAGGACAGCTTTCTGTTAGAGTTGTTTTTAAGTTGGTTGTATTTACTTAGAAAAACCTAGAGTGATTTTTTTAATTATTGAAAGACTGAATAACTGCTAGTAAATCCATTTATTCGCCTTATTTAATGACTGACTCTGTTTCTTCTCCTCTTGAACAGATGTAGCATTATCCAGCAGCCTCATGTGCCACGACCCCAACTCTCCCACACAAGGCTGTTGCTCAGATGGGACAGTTTTAATTGGAGGATTTGGGGGACCTTTGAATCCAAACCTCACGGTCAGCAGCGTGGAATACCTTGGCCCTGAGGAGGAACGTCCCTCTTCTGGTATGTAAATAAAAAAGGTTGAAACAGTTAAGTAATGCTTAATGAGAAAAGGTCTAGTTTTTTGTTGTTGTTTGTTTGTGTTTTAGTTTTACTAAAACTGGTAAAGGTTTAGTGGATTGAAGTGATTCAACCTTTACACTAATTTTAAATAGCATGAGCCACTATTTTTTCACCAGTAGAGGGCAGCAAAGACAACTAAATAATATTCTTCTTACCCATCAACTGTAGGACATTGAGCTGTGTGTATTTGTACATTTTATGCAACAGAGAGAGGATTTTACAAACCAATATCCAATATACCGCATCAGATGCAGTGGTGGTTTTTACTAGGGCTAATAGGGCTTACCACTCTGGGCAACATGGAGTAGGAGATTTTACAAGCGTAGCAAAGTCATTTCTCTATTGCTCTGAGTTATTTTCTTTTATTCAAACACAGTTTTCAAAGCTTAAGCTGCAAATTTTGTTTTTATTTAAATGCCATGCCAGATTCAGGGGCTATTTCATTTTGTTCATCTCAAACCTAGAATAATAAGGCCTAACTATTACTGTATTGTACTACACTGGACAGTGACTACATAAACCATAATGTCAGACACTTTAAAGATTTTGCAATCCATGCAGCAGCTATGAACTTATACTATTTACTTGCATATTTAATCAACTCGTATTTTAGCTTACTTTTATAGATATATTTTTCCATATATATATATAAAATGTTATGTAAATGTTCTTTTAGTGTTGACCCCGCTCCAAGACTGCAACCGGCTGCAGGAGAATGTAGCACTATCCGAGGAGAATGCAGAGGAGTCAGTGCACCTAACAGGGGATCTACCTGAGGGGCTGCAGGATACAGGAGAGCAGATGGAAGAAAGATCGGAAGAGGAAATTGTTCCAGGAACATCACCACCACAAGTACCTCCTAAACTGTTGTCCCAGCTGAGTTCTGGAGACGGTGAGCCAAGTTCTGAAATTATATCTAAAGAGGAAGCAAGCACACGTTTGTCCGTCCGTCCATCTATTCGATTCTTCCTTCATTCCTTCCTTTGTTTCTTTTGTACGTTTGTTCATTTCTTCGTTTGTTCCTTTTGTTCGTTTATTAATTCGTTCATTCCATAATCTGTTCGATCAGTCCCTTCCTTCCTTCCTTCCTTCCTTCCTTCCTTCCTTCCTTCCTTCCTTCCTTCCTTCCTTCCTTCCTTCCTCCCCAGCTGTTTTCTATACACCTAAAGACTTTTGGGTGAAAGAATATTTTTAGGAATAAGACGTGGAATACCAAATGTTGGATGTACTAATCAGGTGCCTAAGGTCTTATTTTATAAAACCAGTTAAAACTATGCTCCTAGTGTCACATAAAAACTATAATAATTGTTCTATGATGATCATGTAGTGCTTTAGAACCATAGAAACTCTGTTCCNTTCCTTCCTTCCTTCCTTCCTTCCTTCCTTCCTTCCTTCCTTCCTTCCTTCCTTCCTTCCTCAACAAACTTTGAGTAAGCCTTAATGTTTCACATTTATTATAAGGTAATTACAGTAAACCTGGAAAGAAGCTAGAAAAGTTTGCATAATTTCTATTCCATGAGGACTGGCTATATATATAATACAGTATGAAACTGTACCACATTGGAGTTTGTGAATATGCAGGATCTTATTTTTTTTATGTTTTACCATTGAGTACAAACAGTTATTCATTATTTTCATTCCTCTGTATCCCTCAATCCCTCAGTCACCTTCCTGTCTGTTGAAACTGTTTCTCAAACACAAAACACTCAGGGCTAAATAAGGGATGTTATGACGACCTATAAGTGTTACTTAGAAAGGGAAAAATTTGGTGTTATTAAGTTATTTTTGTGTTAATTTAATTCAAGAAAAAAAAAGCATTGAAAATGGGAAAGTCATTTTAAAGTAAAAATAAATATATTGGAGAGAAAAACAATTCACACTAAAACTGATGCTATTTGGGACTGAACAAAAAGTTTGAGAAAATATTTTGTCTTTGAATAAAAAAAAAGGATAAATTTATTTTTGGAAAATGATATCCAAGGGAAAAAGCTCTCTCAAAAATATATTGTTACTCTGAAATATTTCATTTTTGTAATTAGAATGAAAACATTTTCTCTCAAGTATAGATTTCTATCTCAAAACTGTTTTCTTCTCTATGTCTCTTAATACCTAAGTCTTTGCTCTCAATTCACAATTTTTCTCTCGATGTGAGAAATATACCCTGTATTCGTATTGGCCAGTTTCAACAGTTGTGACAGCTGACAGCTGATTGGTGATATTGGGTGCACCAGGAACGTGGACGGGAACTTACGGCTGTGTTAGTGGTCGGGGTTAAAAGTCTGTTGTGAAGCTGGAAAGAGCTGTCTGCAACTGAACATGATGGCTGGCATTGTGTTTGTGTTATGCAACTTATTGGTGGAAAACATACATTAATACACTTAAAACACAACAAGCCGTAAGCTCTCGTCCACATTCCAGGGGAATTGCTGTTCAACTCGAACGCACCTGCTGGTTTGCCCCGACTGCCTCACTCCACTCCATGAAATTAACAACTGAGGCGTAACCACTTTTGAATTCAGGCTGATTCCCAAACCAGCCCCTGAGCACTAACCCTTAACTATCAAGTGTCCCTCCCAATGAAGTGCCACTCGCAGCTGTGGAAGGCACCTTGATCGATGGTGCGGATATAAAGGAGAATAAGGCCCAATCCCAAACTGGTCCCTAACCATTAACCCTTAACTATCAAGTGTCACTCACAATAAAGTGCCACTTGCAGCTGTGGAAGGTGCCTTGATTGAAGGTGGGGGTATAAATGAGAATGGGATGGCTTCTTCCCTTCAACAGAAAAGGAAAGCAGTCATTGCTATGGCGACACAGTGGCCCAATCCCAAACCGGTGTGCTGTCAGATGAGCATACCCGATCAGACAGCATACCCATAGTCAATACCCGTTTATCCCAATTTACCCCTTTAGTTTTGTACAAAAAATAAACTTTAAAATACCTCAATGGGCATCTATCCCTTCAGTCATTTAAAAAAAAAATACAATTTCATTACTTACTTTTTGGTGTTTTTTGAAGCGTAATGTAATCTGACCTTAAATTATTTTTTTGTACATTAGGAAAGGGATACACACCCGTCGAGGTACGTAGTTTAAAGTCTAATTTTTGTAGAAAACAAAAGAGATAAATGAAGATCTGACGTCTTGCACATGCGTATTGACTGTAGGTATGCTGGTCTGATGGGGTATGCTGTTCTGACAGAACACCAGCCCCTAAAACTTAACCCAGAGCACTAACCCTCTGCGAGTTTAAAGGAAGGGTCCATCACATTAAGTGCCGTCCCAAACCATGTAGTGGGTAGGGCCAGTGGAACATTCAGCCCTTAAATAGCGAGTCTGCTTCAGTTGTAGGCTCGTTCGAATCTGGCAGCAGGTGTAACAGCGGCTTGGTGGCGGAGGAAACACATTCTGCCACATGTAAATTCCGCCGGTTTGCCGTGTCTTCGTCACACTGACAGCAAATTAAAAAAAGTTAGTATACGGGAAAAAAAAATATTTATAATTCCAAAATGGAAGGTCCTCTTTGAAATTTTCTTATTTGACAGTATAAATTTGTTTTAAGAAAGGGGCAAATATTTGATTTTATGTAACCCGTGCCACAGAGCCAAAGCAACACACATGGTTGCGATAGCAATGACTGCTTTCCTTTTCCATTGGAGGGAAGAAGACAAGTGAGCCTTCATTGGGAGGGACACTTGTTAGTTAAGGGTTAGTGCTTAGGGATTTTTTTTGAGATTCAGCCATTACATCAAACTTGTGTCCGTTTCTTAAAACAAATGTGCACAGTCAAATAAAACTATTTTAAAGAAGAACTTCCCTTTTGGAGTTATTTATGTTTTTTCATATACTTAACTTGTTATTTTCTGTGATGAAAGTAAAAGAAAATAACCGTAAACCACTGAAGTTGGGTTTGGAGAAACACATTTCCTTCGCCAATAGTTTGCCGTTACACACGCTGCCAAATTCCAGCGAGCTGCGGTTTGGGATGGTATTTCATGTAATGGACCTTATGTTGGAATTTGCAAACGGAGGGTTGGTGTTTAGGGGCCGGTTTGAGATTGGGCCCTAATATCACCACCCAGCTGTCAACTCTGTTCAAACTGAGCAACAGGAACATAGGCCCATCCTTGACATTTTTCACATCTCTAGGACAATACTGAATCGAGAGCAAAGACTTAGGATTTAAGAGAGAGAGAAGAAAAAAAGTTTTGAGAGAGAATTTTATTTTTATTTTTTTAAACATTTTTCACTGATTGAAACAAGTAATATTTGAGAGTAAAAATATATTTTTGAGAGAGATTTTCCCCTTGAAAATCAATTTCCAAATGTCAATTTAGCTTTTAAATATTCAAAATATTTTCTCTCAAAACCCTTCCTTCAATCTCAAATAACATCAGTTTTTGCTATCAGTGGAAAAAATATTTTCTCTAATATGTTTATTTTGCTTAGCTTTTTTCTTGAATTTATTATAAAAATACAAAAATAACTCCATATGTTGTTTTCTTTTCTTTCCTTATTATAATAACAGATATGTTGAAAATGAGATGGAAATTAAATCTTTATGAAAAACATGGAAAGCTGAGAATAGGGACAGTGTTCTCTTCTTTATATGCTTCCTTTTAGCATATGCGAACATAGAGCAGTCGTTCCTTGGATAAATGTTCAAATAATGTCTCATCTATACATTTGACATTCTCCCAGAAAATTTTCTGGTTTGTCAGCATGTAGTTTGGCAAATTCCAGCAAATTCCAGCCTGGGTTTTCTATTATTTGTTTTCAGCAATGGGGCCTTCTTTCTTCATCTCCCATTAAGTCCACTTTGGCTCGAACACCAAGAGATGTTGCGATCTGACACTGATGTTCCTTGAGTTTAAAGTTCACCTCTAATCTCTTCAGAAGTGTGTCTTGGGCATATTTGTTACCATTCGAATTATCAATCTCTTTGATTTGTCATACATTTCCTTCAGGGAGGCTGGCTCTATATATATATAGAGCCAGCCTATATATATATAGAGGCTGGCTCTATATATATATATATATATATATATATATATATATATATATAGACCCACTGCCTGGTTATGAGATTGTAGAAACCTTTGATGCTAATTAATGGACACACCTAGAGTTAGAATGCTACTTCGGTCACATCATTCTCAGTCTTTTCTACAGGTACTATTATTTTGTCCTTTTTTATAGCCTGTTTCACGAGTTTATCATTATTATTATGTTTTTTTTTTTACATTTTTTATTTTTTCTTATGAGAGCATTACAATACAGAAGTAGTTACTTTTAGGGAACGCACAATGTTACTACCGCCACTCACAATAAATTTTTGTATGTATAAAATTATAAACAAAATATAAACAAAGTATACAAGATACATCTGAAATTATATCTAACAACTTCCAACAAACAGGGAAAGACAGGTCTGCCTGAAAAAGCAGGAGTAAATTATATACCAGGCGCTTTTGAAATAGAGTATGAGAGATACATTAATATATTAATCCTTAGACGCTACAGAGCATAAATTAAATAACAGGCATTGCATGGTCATCCATTCCATACTTCTGTTTGTTCAAGACCAGCTTATTTAACCCACTTGGCCCACCTCTTAGTGAATATGTTTTTTTTTAAGTCGGAGGGAGAAGGTGATCCTTTCCATAAGGTAAATGTCATTTACGATACTTGTCCACTCTTGTATTGTGGGGAGTTTATTATTTTTTAGGATTCTATTGAAGCATGATTGAAAAGCAATGTCTTACTTTCATCTGCCCATTTTCCTAGAATTTTTATTCAAAATTACTTTTTTTCAAATTTCAGTTTTTTTCTGTGACTGTTGACATGGCTCTGTACTATACTTGTGACAGTGTAATGACATTAAAAAAGGCAGAAAAAACGAGGGGCACCATTAATTTTGTCCGTGTGTAAGTCCATCAAATATCAACTTTATCATCAAGATGATGAAGATATCACAACAGAAAGAAAGATTACATTTGTAAAAAAAACAAAAAAACAAAAAAAAAAACATGCAAACTCGTAAAGAGTAGGTATAATAAATTATGAGAGAGTTAGATAATTAATGATTATTTTTGTGCCTTTTTAGATTCAGGACCCGTGTCGCTTCCTGCTCACCTGCCTAACTCCTACCTCCCCAAAGAGCCTCCACCCAGGGCCAGTGAAAGCCTAGCTTCAATGACCCTGCCACTACGAGGGCCCCTGGCAAACTCCTCAGGGTCCCCACATCTGGGCAATATGATTCACCCTCCTATGCCTCCCAGCTGCATTATGGAGGAGCTGCAGAGAGCCTTTGCTTCCAAGAATCGTCAGGAGAGGTTAGTTATGTACTATTTTTATAAAATGTTACTAGATTAAACATCTCGATATTATTCTTTTATATTTGCAGTTTTCCCCTTTTTACGATTATCGTTGTATAAGAAAACATACAAATAACAATAAACTGGTCAAAAAGTAATCTAAATCAGTATTCTCTCTGCAAAACTAAAAACAATAGAATATGCCAATAATTAGACTTTTCCTCAGAAAATGAAGCCTATTATCCAACAAGCTACTGATACCTAATTTATGAGACACATTGTTGCTATGACACTGCCTACTTTAGAAACTGGAGCCAAAATAATTAATTTCATGGTATTAATTATTAAAGTTGAAGCTTTTAGAATACATCAGGTCTCTGCTCAGATTCAAAGGAGCAAAGTGTTCCTTCCAAATTTACTTAGTGGGTCCAAATGATAACCTCTGCTATGAACGGTTTGCTTTACTTCTCACACTTGGTTGCTGGAATTTTGGCCCCTTCTTCATGACATAGAGATTATGTAACTGCTGTAAATGAGCATGGTGTGTATGTGTCAGGCACCTTTTCCGCTACGCGTGTCATTTTTTTTTAGGAGTGAAATCAGAACCTTTTGATCTCTTGTCCTAAACAATAAATTTTGTTGTTCTATGAGAAACTGTTGCTTTGCGCAAGATTGTAATCCACTTAAATGACGAATATGTGGCCAAATTTGAACTCTGTGGCTGATGACTTAGATTAAATATTTATGTGTTGACATAATTTTCTTTTCAAACTATGATATCTATTATGATATCTACACCAGTCTCCCTGCATCAAGAAACCCCTGAGATGATTTTTTTCCTACTTGCTTTGATTCTGTTTTATTTTCCTATATTTTAATCATGTAAAGCACTTTGCACTGAATTGTGCTATACAAATAAATTTGCCTTGGCTTGCCTAATACCATTCATCTATGTTTTCTCCATTCTCTTCAATTGTGCCCTGCTCTATTTAAATCATCAGCCTGTTGTTAGTTAGCTGGATCCTCTCTTTAACTCACCATGCTGCTTCCCAGCATCTGTCTGCATTTATACCCAGAGACATTGAAAACTGACAGGCTTATTTAAAATGGTAACACTTTACAATAACATCATAACTATAATTTATAAATGGTAAAGAACCATTGATTAATGATTAACAGATTAATTGTTACATATTACAGTTCATTAATGTTTGATATTAATTTATAAACTGCATCTAAGCCATTTATAAAAGGTAAATACGTATAAATAGTGCCCTACCATGTGAATTTATCCACGATGAACCTGGCTTTTATTTTTATTTATCTTGTTAACAGGTTTACTTTTTGTACATAAATTTTGCCCTTCTGAGGTTTTGTGAGAGCAAAGCTGTGTTTTGCTTGGTCCAATAAGGTGTCAACAAACATAAAAAAATAATGTAACAGTTTATTAATGGAGAAGCTATAAGTCAGCTTAACATTGTTTTAATATATAAAAACCATTGAGATACTACTACTACTACTGAGAATGTGTTTATTTAAGATTAACTATGCAAATTAACAAACATCTGAAAAAAGTACACTATATTATATTATTTTCCATGTGAACCCAGATTGTTCATTCTTCTTTGGCTTTTCTAAACAGAGCTTTAAATCAGTCCTAACTGTCTAGATCCATGCTGGGTCAGATCCTGACATTTGAAAAAGGAGGCAGGCAGTCAAGGCAGCAGTATAAAATGTTAGCCTCGCTGCATGCAGTTAGCCGAGCCTTGTAGCTAAACCAATGATCTCTATTTATTCATGCAGTAAAAATGCCTACATGTGTAGCATTTGGCTGCAAAACAAGAAGTTTGCTGGCTGAGGGAAGACGTTCCGCAGGTTATTTCACAGTCAGTGGGTGTAATAACCAAGAAAATCCCCATATACGCCAATGTATCCTATATTATAGTATGTGGCGTAACATTAGTCAGGATATCTTGGACTGACTCGAATTTATTGACTAAACTAGCCATTGACATTGTCTCTAATGTAAGAAAATAGAAAGTAGAGTAAATAGAAAGTAATTCACTGTAAAATGTCAATGTAGTAATTCATTATTAAGTTGTCGTTTTTGTTGTGTTTGTTGTAATTCTCATTTGAAAAAGTCATGTGTTGAAATATATTATATTGAAGGAAAAAAAAGCAACTGCACTTTTGGCGTATCTGTATTATTGTGCTACATTAATTTTATTTGGATGGATTTGTATAATATGTTATATTACATGATTTATAGACTTCATTGACTTCATAATCATTACGAATGAGTACCAATATGGTGGCCAGTGGCTTCACTTCAACGCCGTACGTCTATAAATCATGTAATGTTACAAAGAATGTTGCATATGAACGCCTGGTTTTAACTTTATTTCTTGGTTCTCCTTCTTTTCCTGCAGACTTCTCCTATTTGCCGCTTGTCTATTAAAAGAGCTCAAAAATTGTTAATCTAATATTTTCTTTCATGCTCCAGATTAAGACGCAAGCTGTTCTTTAATGTCCCCTCAGTGTCCACGAAGGATGTGAGCAGGGTTCACCCCCACGGCTATGGTGCTCTGATGGACGGCTGTCTCGCTCCTGCAGCTCCGATAACCAACACACCTCATCTTTGGCTGGCGGCTGCGTAGGAGTTGGAGGGTCTGACTGGCCAAAGAAGGAAGCAGAAGAGAACAAGGAGAACGTACTGCTGGACCAGTGCTTTTCCAAGACCTCAGGCCTTCCCTTTGACCTGGACGGTTGGAACGAGTCTGTCATCTCTGGTGGGTCTCACAACTTTAGCGGTTTGCTGAAGGTGTAAGCTTTAATCATTCAGACATATGCACTGAAGACTCAGGAGCTGTTCAGAAGATTTTTTTCTTTTTTATCTACAGGGATTTTGCTATTGTGCCTCATAGAAAGAAGGGAGAAAATTATAGGTATCCTTTTTACTGTAAGAGACAGAGCCTAAAAAGCTCATCCCGATGATCAGGTGGTTATTTAAGAATTGATCTACATGAATTGTGTTATCCAGTAGAAAAGGTAGAACTTTAAAAACCGTATGTCAGACATTTCCTGTACCTTTTTGAACAGGTTGCACACGGAAGCTTTAAGGTTTTGGAGGGAAAAAAATGTTTGCACAAAACCTAGCCCCATCCATCTCCCCTGAACACAATGAAGACGTCCCGGACCATTTACACAAAAGGACCTCTGAAGCAGGATGTTTCCACTTATCCTTCTTCTTCCTATAAACAGGATGAATTTTATGCCAGCGAGTTTCATTTTTGTCTCCACCAACCACATGACATTCTCCTATTAGTATTTGAGACCACAGCTGCTTTCTCAACGTGCTGCTTGCCTATATTGTCTTGGTGCCCACCCTAGCTTTGTGCAGTTTTTTTCTCTGGTGTCCCACAGAGCTGACTGTGTGATCAGGTATTTTTATTCAGATAACAAATTCATGGAGGTGCATTTAATAAAGACACTAAATAAAACATAGGAGGTCTTCTCAAAGAATAAATAAGAGTGTCAGAGCCAGAGTTCTTGCTGGTTAAAAGGTGATCAAACATTTATTTAATAAAGAAAAATGCTGGTTGATTTGTTATTTGTTTTAGATTCTCTGTCTCACATCGGAATTGTACCTATAATAAAATTTTAAAAAACCTCTTCATTGTTGATAATTATGAAAGTTTCAGTTGTTTATCAAATATTTATTTCCGCACAGTAGCACATTTCTTGATTATTAAGCTGACTACTTTGTTACTAACTTGTTCTGGAACGCTTTCATTCAGGCACAATTTCATACACCACCTGATCACAAAATCAATCCTTCAAATATGCCATGCTGCTCTATAACATGATCTGTAGTTAAGCCTGTCTTTTTATAGTGGTCTAAAGCATATTTGTGGTGTTGCAGGTACACTTCCTCGCAGGCTAAGGAAGGAGCTGCTGGCTGTCAAGCTACGAAACAGGCCCAGCAAGCAGGAGCTGGAGGACAGAAATATCTTCCCAGCACGAAGTGATCAGGAACGACAGGAAATTCGTCAGCAGATAGAGATGAAACTTGCCAAGTAAGAAGTGGAAGTATTTTAGTATTCAATGCCCCCCCTTGCTTATGCATAATTACATAAATCCCCTAACACTTGAAATGTAAATAAGATACACAATTTGGAATTAGCTTAATCTATTAATAGTTTAATAGAGTTGCAGGATCTTGCACAATCTGCTCAGATGTAACTTCTTTATTTCTTACAACTATTATCTGATATTAGTATAGCTTCAGTATCATTATTAACTAAAATGTTGTTAAGGACATGGGCATCTGTTACAGGCAATTGTCCAAATAGATAAAAATCATGCAACATTTTGGTGCTAGAAATTCACACATGCTCAGTTATTTCTTGAAAGCTGCCAACATTATCATCAGTCTACATGCTGCCTGTTTGTAGTGGATGAGCCGAAGCAACCTGTTCCTGGAAATGTTTTCTCTACAAAGCATGATGGGTGTGTGTTTTTGTACCTCGGTGTACAGACATTAATAGACAGCTGAGTCACATAATGTCCACAAACTGAAAGGAGTGATCCCCTGTTTAGATTTCACTTAACTCAGGCTCTTTAACACCAGCATATCAAACTGAGACACACCAGAAAGTTACATAACCTGCTGTGAAATAATTCACAGCCAAGCACAAAGTGCCACCCACACTTCATAGAACAGTATCTATCGGCTGTCTGGTAGGCGACTAATAATACAGCTTTCTTCCTCTATTCTTAGAATTACTGGAAGAAACGGATTTCTGATGCTTTCAAAAGAAAACATTCAAAGGTTTGCTGGAGTGAGGATGCACTATGGCTAGAGCTGATGTGGGAGACACTGGAATTAGTGTTTTAAGGCAGACGGACGAGTCTGGAGCAAATGAGAGTAAATGGCTGGCTGTACACTGCAAAAGCCATCTATAAATAAGTAAAAATGTCTTTAATTAAGTGTATTTATCGTTAATTTGACCAGGTAAATAGGATGATTTGCCAATGGAATTAGTATTTTACTCTTAAAGTAAGATAATTAGATATTATGCACTTGAAATAAGACATTGTAATTGTTTTGTTTTTTTGTTCTTATTTTAAATGTAAGTTGTATTGTTCCACTGGTAAAGTGTCTTACCTCCTCAATTAAAAAAAAAAATTACTTATTTTAAGAAAAAAATTATCATTTAGATTTACATTTTTTGCAGTGTAATGTAAAGATTATTACTGCTCCAGTAAGTGTTTTGATAAACGAACAAACTTTTGTTTTAGAAAGAAAGATTAATTGATTCATTTTTAGTCAGACAATTCTTATTTATGGTTACAGTATTTTTTAGACAAAACTGGGCGAGTCAACAATTTGGATGCTACTTTGTTTTTCCGTACCACTGCAAAGCAAAACTGTGGAGGATAATCCTTTCTAATTATAGCCCAGAAGGTCTAACTGCAAAAAGAACAGGATCCCTTAGGTAGCCAGTGAAAGACAAAACAGCCCCCTAACCAGCAATAGATTTGTGCATGGCTCCAACCTTTCCTTCTGTCTCTTTGTCTTTGAGCTTTTGTGCATTGCTGCAGAACTGATGATGGATGATAACATACTGTCTCTTCATTGGTGTCAATGATAGATGACCTTTCTATCTTTAGTTCCAGAGCTGGCTTAGCATTGCAGCCATGCTGCCATGCTGTTTCTAATCTTAGCTCCTGCTGCTGTTCAATAATGTATCCCCCCTTTGTGCACTGCTGCCTCCTCACAAATGTCCTGGAGTTATATTAGCAGGAATAATTCCTGTGTAGGAGGAGGCCGGGTGCTGTTCTACGATGGGAAGAGCTGAAAAAAGGCTAATTATATGTTCTTGGTGGAGTTGGTAGCTGAAATAAAGAACTAAAAAAAACACCCACAAGATGTTTTTTTCCACTTAGTTAGTAATGTATACCCAATACCTCCCTCAGCCTGCATACCTATAGATTGCCTTTCAATTGTAAAGAAAAAAAAATCAGCAATGGAAATGCTGAAACATTTGTTTTTGTTGTTTTCCTTACATTTTGTAAAAATTAAATCCAACAATTTGTCAGTGTAGAAAATATGGCAAATCATCTCATCTAAATGTTTCACTTAACCAAAATAGGTAAGGTTTAAAAATAATTCACTGTATGTTTATTTAAGTTGAACTAGGTCTAACCTGATCAAATTTAGCAGCTCTACTCAGATATTTATATTTGCAGTAAAGACAGAAAAAGAAAACAGCAGCGAGTTTCCAAAAATAGCTGCATTGTCATTTACAGCACATACAGCTGGGGTGTGCTGGTGACTCCCACCCCACATGTTGCTAGGGAGAAAAGAGGACTTCTGCAGGATTACTCCTTGTCTTCAAGATACTGTTGCTAAGCAACACAGCGACTGGGTCAATATTACAGTGGATGCTCATACTCACTAGAGCTTTGCTAGTGATTTTCCGTTGTCTGTTTAAAATGTAACAGCAATCGAAGCACTCTGCTTTGTTTTTCTGTTCCTCTGTGAGGTGAACAAAAGGAATCGTGAGGTCTGGTTGTTCCCAACCTGATGAGAGCTTAAGATAACTATAAAAAAACAAACAAAAAAAACACCTGATTTGATCAAAGGAGAAGCTTTCCACAACGGAGGCTGTGATAAGTGTCATTCTTTTTATCAGGTTTTTGTTACTGATGGATGTCCTGCTTGGGATTTGTTCAACAAATACTTCCAATCATTTCTTTCAGAAGGCATTTCAACTGAGGATAACAGCTGTTCAATGATAAATTCTACTATGTACAGATGTGTAACCTTGTTAATTACTACAAACAAATCAGTAGACTCATATTTTGCAATAGTATTGCTTTTTGCTAGAATTCATAGACAACATGTCTGCTACACATATTTAATTTAGGTAAAAAATTACAAAGTAGCTGAGAATTTATGTTTTTAGTTGAGATAGAGGAAATTTTTTTACACAATGGTCGCCAACTGTCCCTTGATAAGGATCGATTTCATATTAATAAACACTGTTAGCTGTTTAACTTAGTTCAATAGTTGAATTTATAGCTTACAAAATTTATTTCCTCACAGTAAATTGCAAAAATAAATTCACAATGTCAGCAAAATGAAGGACAATGCCTGGTCAAGAAGTGTCCCCTTTATAATTTTCACAGAGTAGGCAACCCTATACACAAATGTGGTCAAAGATCATTTTCCACCTGACTTGGATAATGATTCTCTTACGGAAATGGATAAGAAACGTGTTTACCCACAACCACCAACTTGGATGTCAAAAAATGGAAGTCACTCATATGCCATGACAGTAACACACACCCACCCACACAAACATAGATACAGCACTCTTTTTGCAATGCCTGAACTATTGAAGACCAGGTTTTAACAACGCCTATTTAAGTTAGGGAAGGATTTTTAGCTGTAGAAGTCCAGGTTGCAGTGTCACGCCAGTCACTTTGTTCCCTTTAGCTTTTCATTCTCTAGGTTTTATAAACAGCAGTCATCTAGTATTCCATATACAGACTGTTTTGATAATGGAAGACTCAGGATTAAAGGTAACGTTCTAAATCTAATTATTTATTCGATTTATTTTTTTGTCATTTTTTCTTCACCAGTTTGGAAACCAGGGGTGCCCATCTATATAAAAACCCATGTAAACACCCAGTGCAATAACCCTGTATAGTGATCCTATTATAAAAAATAAAGTGGATGCACTGTATATACTCAATATATATCCCATGTACCTTTTTCTTCCTCGGGCAACCTCTTCTTCGTTGACTATTTGAGCTGATTTAACGACTACATTTCTCCACTGTGAGATCAATATAGTCAATCAATCAATCAATCAAGGGGGGATGGGGGAAGCACCAATCTACACCATTAAGAGTCACAGAGCAGGTATTGCTTTTTCTTTGTGTTGTTGGTGTCCAGGTCATAGTTCCTGTGATCTAACTTTGATGTGTTGGAAAACCAAACTATAAAGTCTCCAGTGTTGGCTAGGCGTTATGGGATAAAGAGAGTCCTGCTGTGTGGAGGCATTCAAGCTCTTTTAACTTTTCACCTCTCGGGGTTTACTGTGTTATATCCCACCAGCTGTCTTATGTTGACCTCTTTAAGATGCACACATTTATAATTCATACAAAGCAAACACATACAGACACGTTGTAGACCTTTTCGGTTGCTTTGATGGGGAAGGGACAGCTGGTGTCAGGGTTGGGTTGAGGTTTGATGATCCAAATGCAGAGGCAGGGAGGCAGAGGAGAGTTTTTGTAGATTCAATGTAATGTTCACAAACAACTGAGGCAGGAATCCAAAAATCCAACATGAAAAATGCAAAACAAACCAAAATGATAGAGACATCAGGAGAAAACAATCACGAGGAACCAGGGTAAGACAAGGTAAGACAAAGTAAGACGAGGAACTGCATAAGGAGAGTATTTATAGGAGACTGAACAAAGAGAGGACTAACGAGCTGATTGGGAGCAGGTGTGAAGAGAGAAGTCCAGAAAGGAGCTAGGGAAAAGGAGACAAAGGCTACGTTCACACTGCAGACATTGATGCTCAATTCTGATTTTTTTGTGAAATCAGATTTTTTTTGCGTTGCCGTTCATATTTCCAAATATATGCGACTTGTATTTGATCTCCTGTGTGAACTGCAATCATACAGCGCAAGTGTTCCGCATGCGCAGTAGAGGACGCAATGATGTCACAGGCCAGTATGCTCTGTTTACAGAAGTAAACATGGATGGTAGTGCCGGTGCGCATCTAGCAGTCTTTTCCAACCATAAAAACTCAATCTTTTCAACATGGTTAAACATAAATACTGCTCTCTGCATCATCAACTACCATGGTTGCTGTTTTTCTGCGTTGCAAGATGCAGAATAGTGACCTTTGTCAGGTATTAATGACGTTTAGGTCAGATTAATCCGACCTGGCCGTTCAGACACAGGTCGCATTTGAAAAGATCAGATTCGTATCGGATTCAGGACCACATAGCCAAGTGGCCTGGGTCGGATTGAAAACAAAATTGGATCTGTGTTGTTCAGACTGCCATGAAAAGATCAGATCCAGGTCGTATATGGGCAAAAAAAATTGGATTTGGGTCACTTCAGGCTGCAGTGTGAATGTAGCCTTACATGAGAGGGCAACAAATAAAAACCTAAGAACTTAAATATAACCAGAAAACACAACACAATTGGAATTAAACCAATAAAACTAGAAAACATGGAGCAAATTAAAACTTAATACTCAAAAGAAAACAGAGCAGAACCAAGACTGGGACAACTGGCGGCTTCACTTAAAGTAGAACCTCTGCCTAGCAAGCAGTTTAAAAAAATAAAAATAAAGAATTGTTTAATAAAAATGGAATAATTCTTAAACCCAGTGCTACAATAATATAGTAGTGTAACCCCTACCTTTGCATAATAGTGGGGAAGCCTATGAGGGTGGAGCTTAAGCAAGCCCCGCCTTCAAAACACTCTGCATGCAGTAACCAGGGAGACTCGCCCCATAGCAGCCCATCACGACGCGGCTCTAAAGCGCCTGTGGCTGATAGTAGAGAGCAGAGCCTGAGCTGCTGAGGCTGAGAGGAGTTTCCCACTGCAGAGATGCTGCCCGGTGTCCCCGACATATAAAAGCTCGCTGGAGTCATTCTCTAAACGGGGAAAAACAGGCGCTTATTTCACTCTTCCAAATGTGGGGAGCCCCTCTGCCCAAACAACACAGCCGCGGTCTGGATGCGAGATGGAAACATAGGGGATTCCTCTCGAGAACGCGCATCGTGAAGAAATTACAACCGGTTTAGATTAAACACCGAGAGGAACAGGAGCGGAGATTTGCTGAAAATGGTTCAAAACGTAGTTTTGGTGTTTTTCCGCAGGAGGCTGAGCCAGAGACCGAATGTGGAGGAGTTGGAGAGTCGAAACATTTTAAAACGTAAGTCGTTTAATTATTAACTAGATAAATTACACTTTACTCCCAGTGTGTTAATTGGGTGCTTTTCTTTTTCATTTCCACCTAAGAAAAATTTATTGATTCACTTTTTTTCTGGTTTTCCCAGAGAGAAACGATCAGACAGAGCAAGAAGAGAGAAGGGAGATCAAACAGAGACTCAACAGAAAGGTAAGACTGCTTCATTATTGAGGTTCTATCTGCAAACTGTAATGGTTTAAATTAAATTTGGCTTTTCTTGGGGGCTTTTTCAGCTCAATCAGCGGCCAACAGTGGATGAGCTGCGAGAAAGGAAGATTCTGATCCGTTTCAGTGACTATGTGGAGGTGGCCAAAGCTCAGGACTATGATAGGAGAGCAGACAAACCCTGGACTCGCCTTTCAGCTGCAGACAAGGTGTGTGCCACATTCAAAACTAAAGGATCCAGCAATAAAAAAAAAAAAAAAAAAACAGTTTACTATTAATATCAGAGATGACAAAATCCTCCATTCTATGATGATCACTGAAGACCTAACACATTCATGCCATCAATATTTTCTAATGCATGTTTTCTCACCATGTTTTTTGGGGATTCCCTGATTTTTTTGCCTATTTCCTACAGGCTGCCATCCGAAAAGAGCTGAACGAGTTCAAGAGTACAGAGATGGAAGTGCACGCCTCCAGTAAACACCTAACTAGGTTAGTACTCTGGTCATGCAACCACTGTAGCTGCATGTCAGCGTAGTAATAAATGCACGCATGTTCTATTCTGGGCTGCAGCAGTCTAAATTTAGCTCTCCATGCTCTTCACATAGGAGAAGGCTATAAATAGATTGGAGTGCATATAAAATGGGGAGGGGTAGGTGGTCCCCTGGAGATCTAAGGGTATCAGAGAGAGTAATGATGAAATGGTTCAATGTCCTTGGCTGTGCAGAAAGAATGGGACTGTTTGTTGTGCCAGTGACCCAGAGAGTTTAAAAATAGCTCCTGATTAATGGCTAACATACCCAGATGTGATGACAAAGGTATACTCTCCAATCCTCTGCATTTACATATAGCTTATTTGCCTTTTCAGGTTCCACCGGCCGTGAAAGTGAAGAGTTTCTTCTGTGAAGAAATGCTGAGCTGAGAAATTCCCTGAAGCTGCCTGACGCCACTCAGTGGTGACACATCAAAGAGCCCGAAGCTCTTTTTTTGTCTTCAGCGCATCTTTAAATTTCTTCCTGCACCCCCGTATCATCAGAGTGAAGAAATGGGTGTAGGAGAAACAAGAGAGGGATCTTTGCAGCAGTGTGTCCTGGAGACTGCTGTTTGCAACATGGAAGCAGGCAGGTGAAAGAGACTGTAATTGAGAAAAAAAAATTCTGCCTCTCAGGACAAGAGCAGAATGGGAAAAAAAACAATCCTGTCATTAATTTTTTTTGTACTAATTCCAGGAAAACTTTGACAAATCGGTGTGAATCCGTGTAGTGGGAAGAAGATGTAGTGCATGTGACCACCTTTTCTTAACTGATGAATAATGTGTCACTTGGACTGTGTACAGACTGTGAAGTCGGGTGAGAATGTGTCGGGGAGAATTTTGATATGAACTGTATATACAGTATGTCAATCAGAACGGGACTGACAGTGTCTTCACTGAAAAAACAAATACCTTTGTAAGCACTACTTTAAAATTGTCTTCAAAATACAACACATTTTATAAGAACAAGCGGTGTATTTATTTTTTAAACAGTTTTATTTCAAATTAAGACTGAGGTTAACAAGTGTTTAAAAACTAAACAGGATTTTTTTTTAGTTGGACCATTTCAAAAGTCAAAAAATTTATAATACTTAACCACTAATAGAGTATTTTAAAAGTGACAAAGCAATACAGATACAAACATCAGATCAACTTAAATGTAATTAAATAGTCAAGAACATTCTTTAAAGATTTTTAACCATCTAACACAACAAGGCACATGTGAAACAAACGCAGCTCTTAACCAAATGGATTGATTTATATGAAACAAACTGGATTAAAATCCCTTTATGCAAACAGCTATATAGAGAAGCACAAACAAATTTCTCAGAAGGGTGCATCCCATGTGGACAGACACCTCGGCTCACTATGTAGAGTAACCTTTGGTCACCTCCAAACTGGCTTCATCCGGAGAAAAACAAAGCATGTATTCCTCTCTTCATACTCTGGATCTCTTGCTCATGCTGTGAATGGTGCAAAAGCATTAAAAAACATCATTTAAAATTTCATACAAAATTCTTTCAGGCTGTTCTACTACGGAAAAGGATTAGGGCCACTAAAAAAATTAATTAAATAAAGATTTTCAAATTTTATGTCAGAATTCTGTCTTTTTTCTCACAATTCTGACTTTAATTTCAGAATTCTGACTGAATTCTGACAGCTAACAAAAATGTAAGCATCAAGCCGTAGCCATGTCTGTTTTAGAGACTAAACTAGCTCTTTTCTTTTAATCAACTTCTGCTCTTCCATGAATGAAATCGCATCACCGGGGACCCCTCAGGCACGTAAAAAGTCAGTTAATTCTGTCATTTTCCACCATTGTGTTACTGGCCCTCCCAAACAACTCACATCTTTGTCAGTGAAGCTAAGTGCTCCCACATCTCTTCCTTCATGGTGCCCATCTACATTAAGATCTAAAATTCTTAGAAAAAATTCAGAATTCTAATGAAAAAAGTCAGAATTCCGACTTTTTTCCTGTATTAAACTGAAATAATATTTAAAAATCAGTTAACTTTTTTTTTTTTCAGTGGCCCTAATCCTTTTCTGTAGTTCTACATACCAGGTGTTATAGCGAAATATTAAAAGTTCACACACCAGTGTTCCAATGCAGTATTGTTTTTTTTTTTTTCTTTTTTTTTTGCTGATGTTAGAAATGAAAACAAATGCTTTCTGCATATAATTTCATAAAATCCCATACAGTTACATTTTAAACATCTACAGATTTATTAGAGACAAAAATGTGGAAAGACAAATGCTTCAACAACTTGGGTTCATTAGTGTGCAAAAACTTGGACAGATACTTTGTTAAACCAACTTTTTATCTAATTAATATTAACATCCAGTCTCTGGTACAGCTTTGGAAGCAGTCCACATCATGCCTCACTAACTTTGAACCAACTCTGTCTTGCAAATATTACAATTTGCGATGACTGACGGCAGCTTTAAGGTTAAATGATGAGTTCAAAGATGCTTTAACAAGACGTTAGTCCTAGTTTTCATTTAATTTGGACAGGATAAATGTTACCAATGATATATCTTGGTCTCATTGTTTTCAAAATGATAAAAACTTATTCAATTCATGGGTGACCAGATGTTCTATATCCACATAATGTAGAAGTGTTCAGAGCTACCCTGCTGGAATGGCAGAGTAAAGGAAAGAACATGGAAGCCGTGTTTTAGACTGTTGTGATCAACTCACCATTTCATCGAGGAGTCTGTCCTGAATCGACTTCAGGTCCTTTTTGATCAGGTCCATCTGAGAACAGCAAGTAGTAGAGAAAGACTTCAGGAAAAATGGCCAGAATTCAGTCAGTCGGTAAAGTTATGTTGGTGTAATCAGTACAGTTATTCCAGCCAAAGCAACAAGAATTAAATATTAAGTCTGATATGTAGGTAAGAGTTAGACCTCTGATTTGAACACTCCTTCTTCATAGTCCAAGCCGTGATCATAGATGCTTTGGAAGGTTCTCTTCAGTGTATCATTCCTATAAAGGCACAGACCAAAAAAAGGACTAAGGAACACCAGAGAAGAGGAAAAAAAAATCTGATCTATAGACCTATAACATTAAGACATTTCCAGGAGAAAAAGGGGCAGCTTATTATTGGTGGACTGTACGGAAGCGTGTTGCATTCACCTAGAAAACAAAACAAAAATTGGTCTGTTTTTCTGAATTAACGAGAAGCTCTATGAAAAAAAAGCATTCTGCTTCTCTGTATAAATGACAATTAAAAAAAAGTACTAACAAGCTCCTTGTTACAAAATAAATAAAAGTGTTCTGCTTCTTTGAATTAATGGGATTATGCTGCTATTATTTCATCGTGGATGTTCTATGCAGATTTCTAAGCAAGAGAGAAGATTCAAAATGTCCCATTCATCTTTATTTTCTTTTGCGATTGAGACATTGGGAAACTCTCTTGTTTCTCAGTTATGTAGATGTGATCTCTATTAGTTTGTCCACTTTACAAAGACACCTGTATGTTGGGTGCTACTCGTGGCACGGTTATTTACCCCTTAATTTCTTTTTCAGTTTATCTCATTAATTCAGACAGAAGGCCTTTTTTATTGGTGTCTCATAAAAATTATCCCATCAATTAAAAAAAACTTATAGTTTTTATTTATTTCTATAAAAAAGTAATCTTGTTTATTCAGAAAAAAAACAAATATTTATGTTTTATAAAACTTATCCTGTTCATTCAGATAAAACTGTACTTTTAATTTATTTTTTCAAATTATCCTAATTCAGAAAAACAGAACGTTTATATTTATATTAATTATCTTGTTCATTCAGAATAACAGAACATTTTTAGTTTATTTTTTTATGAAAAGATCTTGTTATTTAAGAAAAAAAGAACACTTTTATCTATTCTGATAAAACTGCTCGTAATTCAGAAAAACAGACCAAGTTTTTGTTTTGTTTTGCAGGTGAATGCATTTTGCTTCCCAAGGACTGATACAATGAATAAGGGAATTCAATTTAAAAAAACAATTATTAATAAAAACAGGGACACAATTTTTAAAGTACTAATTTTCTTTAGTATTGTATTATAGTATCATAGGAAAATTTGTCAGTAAACAGCTACGTGTATTTAAATGTACTCGGAACATCAATCAAACTAATAATAAAAGGGACATTCTTATACTTCCTTCGCTTTCTATGGGATTTAAAATTACAACTCCTACCAAAGAACTTGCAGAACTTTGATGTGTTACATGTCCTAAACTCCTTAAAAAAGAAAATATGATTTAGAATAATTAGGTTTCAAGAAAACCGGAAACACTTCATCCGTGCATCTCAATTGAATCATTATTTCCAAATCATATTAACATCTTTCTGTCAGAGTTGAGGTAAAATGCATTACTGTTTATTACAACAGTTTGTTTCTAAATGTACCCAATGGGATATGACGGCTGAGTACAGGGTAATCTCTCTCATCATATGAGGTGTTTAAAGCCATAAATTCACTTGTACAGTGGTAACACTGTGATACATACAGATGTGCATAGGAACACGTAGCCCTCGTGCAAACGTTCAACAAAGCACATTTGAAGTAAAGAACATACAGTTTATGTTTAATATTCAGGGTGTGATCCATGTTTGTTCTACACCTATGTCCTATTACCTCCCTTTAATTGGGTTTCAGCAAAAGGACAGATTTGGAGCAATATTTATTAACGGGACTGTTGTAGTAAGTACAGCTATCCACCAAAACACAACTAAATGTTCATTTTAGAATCAGACATAAAAAAGACACAGCTTGGATTTCAGAGTATGTCTCAATCAGAGCATAGGAAGCATGGGATTTATAATCCACACTGAAAAACCTGGGTGCTGGCTAAATAGTCCAGGACTGCATGCAGGCACAAGCTCTGTGCAGCCCTATCAGTTATATAAAGAAACAGAAGCAACATCTCTTATACAAGAGATTCTGCTGTGAAAAAACATATTTAGTTTCTGATGAGGGGGAAATTGTTTTCTAGTCAAGCCCTTTAATTCTTGTTCTATTGAATAAACAAGTATGTTGTTCAGCATTTTACAAAGTATTTTAGTCCAAGCTTGAGGAAAAATCAATGATAAGATCGTATTGGCTAAATAATGACATAACTCTTTTTTTATTCACCTCTTTGTTTCACAGTCCTGGTAAGAATGGAAAGTTGTAATCTGCTTTTCCCAGTTTATCTGCAAAGAGAAAAAAATACCAAAACAATTACTGTCAAATTTATGTAGATTGCGATTATTGTTCAAATGTTTTTCTTTTCCCTATAGCTTTTCAAACCAAGGAATAAATATAAAAAACAAGGGACCCACAGCCAGATCTTTCTCCATGTTTTTTAGCAAGTTAACATCCTGCTCCATCTTCTGGATCTCCTCTACAAGGGTATTTTGAACTTCACTCAGCCTTTGAATTCTGTCCAGAGCAAAAACACAAATAACCACAGAAATAAATCCAAGAAGAAATTATGCTGATTTTTTTTTTTTATCTCACACAAAACCAGAGAACTGAGGATGTGGATTCTATACAGCAAGCAAATACTCAGTGTTTGGAGTTTAAGAGCATTCTGAGAACAAAGGGAAGCAACCAGTTATTATACCTAACAAAATGGTACAGAGGAGAGCATTTGCACATTTAGCAAGTTGACTTGCTCATTTGGTTAAAAAAAACATTAAAAGCAGTTTGTTCAAGGCAGTAAAATTGACCGAAAGATACCTGTTTTCGTTAAACTGGACTCCAATGGATGAAATGTGGTGCTGGACAGCCTTGGAAGACCGTTTGTTGTAGATCTCCATTAAATGGCTACGGTTCTGAAAAGATTGATCACAAATGAGATGAGGATTAGTCACAGAAGAGTCTATTCCTGTAGGTAAACAATGCTTTCTAAAACAAACAGCTCAATAAAGCCTAACAAGATTATTTCTGTTGGTGTAGTACATGGTTTCAAAGAGGGCAAGGAGATTAACTTAAATACAAAAACACTTTTATTTTCTTTTTGTGTGTATAAATGTATGGATGTTAACCTGCAACTTGTTTTTCAGCTCAGAGGTGAACTGCTGACAAAGTTTTTTTGGCTTTAGAGTCTCTTCTGGAAGCTCTGAATCCCCATCCATCTCCAAGTCTCCATACACTTCTTCAGTCTCCCAGTGACTGGAACTCATGTGGCTCAGCTCATCTTCAACAGAAACCTCTTCAACTTCAAGTAGAAAATATCCAGAAATATATATTTCGATGTTAATAGGAACAATCATTTTGCAACAAGATCAGATTTATCTTCATTACATTGCTGAACCTAAAGAAAAGGTTTGATAAAAACATAATGAAGTCATCATTTAGAATTAAAGCTTTTAAGTGAACAAAAACCTGATAAAATGTGTAGCATTTGATATTAATAACAGCAGTAATATTTCTTACAAGACTTGAACAGTTTTCTTGGCTTCATTCTAGGAGAACGCTGGCCTCTAATCTTGCTCTTCTTCCGCTCCTCTTCATTCTCGTCTTCCTCTGACTTACTGGATAGTGAGACGCAGCGCTTAAGAGCGGGTCCTAAAAGACATGTCAGGATGTAAAACAGCCACTTTGTAGCAGAGGGGAGACCAAGTCATTTTTTTGCAAATCAAAATAGGCATCAAGTCTCAAATCAGGTTGCAAGTAAAATCAAAGCTGAAGTCAAATCCAAAGTCAAGACGGTCTGAAGTCCAACTGAAATCTTGAACTTTTAATATTGAGTTTTAAACATGTCACTTGACAAAATACTACTACTAGAAAAATACTGTTTCTGAGACTTTTTAATACATTCGAAATGTGCTTTTGTTTTCCTGAAAAAACAGTAAAAGTAAGAACAATTTTGACATCTTCTTTGTTGTGCTTTCTCCAGCGTCACGCAGCTTTGTCGTCACGCCCTCAAAACCCCGCCCACTTGGCATCCAGAAATTCAAAACACATCTCTGCTTTGTCATTGACCAGCCAGTTTTAGGGCCTGAGGCATTGATCGAGGTTAGACCACTCGCAGGCAAAAATGATTTTGGCCGCTGGTAGGTGGGGCGATTTTACTAGGCTAGAATGTTTAAGAAATGTTACTAGATAAAGAGGGTCATAGGATAAAAAAAAATGGTTCTAAAATACTAATTTGCATATGGACAAAAAAAATCACATAACCTAATCTGTGTTCAGTTAACCCTAAATAATAAAGAACCTACACACACATACTGATGACATCAGGGAACACAGGAAGCGCATATGGTTGCTAACCATCACCCAGTTCAATAGCCACACATCTGGCCTGTTGCTGTATAATACTGCAGGCAGTTCTTATATTTCTTTCTCCAGACAAGCAAAGATGATGATGATGATATGTAACACTTGACCTGTCTGAACTTATATTCCAACTGAAAGCCCCAAACACAGTAGAGCAGATTAATGGTACATAGTGGCCTAAGCCTTGTTTGAGTGATGTCATGCGAAGCTGCCTTTGTCTTTTCTTGTCAGACCATGCACATGCTTTCCTGATGGCTCATGATGTCAGGAATACTCTACCAAATCATTTGTGAAAGTATTACAGAAATCAACAAGTTTAGTCTAGTAGTTTAAAATGCGAGTCATATCTACTGTAACTGAAGCACACACCTCTGATTTGCAGTAATAAATGATTTGTTGTGTCAACACTATCATACTGGTGACATAATGACCTTCAGATGTGCTTCTTTATTTAATGGCCTCTAAGAACTTCAGACAAAAAGCACAAAGGTAAATAAAAAAACACTTTACCTGAGACAATATGCTTCGTGTGTTTAAGGTTCTTGTGCATGAGCGGTGTTTTCTATCAGAGTGAACAGTGAAGTGTTAGACACCAGTTTTATAGTCAGAAATGTTCCTTTTTTTTAAATGCTCTACACAGATCAACAATCTACCAATATCCTAATCAATGGTTCCTACATGTTAGCTTTTCAACTATAATTGTGGTTTCTCCAGAAAACTGGACAACACTTCAAATTCTATCCAAATTTCCAGACTTGGGCAAATATAAAAGCTAAAATATTCAGGTTGATAGATAAAAACCTCTTTATAAGACGTGGTCATAGTGGAGATGTTCTTTTTCCCGCTGAGCTCCGATGACGTTGGAGACAAGTGGCTTATTGGACTCAGGGAAACTGAGGACACTTTACTGAGCTCAAGGTGACAACCGCTTGCTAAAGTGTCCCTGGGGAACTGTAACTGAGATGGAGATAGCACTGGGGCCTTATCTGACTCTATAAGGGTTGATGTTAAGAGTGGTTGGGTGGATGGAGACAAAATGGACTGAGGCACTGAGGACAGATGCTTCTGCTCTGCAACAATCTGAAAATAAATAGAGAGAAAAGTGTAAAAAAATACAGCTGTGAGGAGATATACCAAGACATTCTCTAATTACAAAGTCTTTCTAAGATTGTTGACGAGCAGCAATAATGACATTTTCTAAAGCAGGGGTCTTCAACGTTTTCCAGGCCAAGGACCCCCAAACTGATGGAGAGATGGAGCAGGGACCCCCTAATTACATATATTGTATGAAATTGTGTTATATCAAAGTGGTCCTATAGTCACTCTATTAAAGATGGAGTAATTTCACCCTGGGATTATTAAAGTATTTCTGATTCTGATTCCTGGTTGATGGGACAGGTGTTGTGAATGAAACGGTGCCCAGCTTGAAAGAGATCCTGTGTGTCGCTAATGTGTGCATTGATGACTGAAAGAAATCTTCTGCCTCCATTTATCTGTTTACTACAGTGTGTCGAATTCATGTTAATGTGGATTTAAAGAAATTTCAATTAGTGGACAAAATTGCAGGGGGGAATATAAAAAAAAGACTAATCAACCAAAAGTTTCACAACCCCCATGCAGTACCTCTGTGGACCCCCTAGGGGTCAGGAAGCGAGGGAGCGCAACAGTAATATTATCAAACTTTAGTCATAAAGATAATTTAAATCATACTATTTTACTGTTCATAAAATCTTTAGGAATCAAATTTTTAACATTATTACATGATGTTTTTAATTTCTGACATCACAAATTCCCAAGAATAGTTTGGTTTCTAGAAGTGGTCAGAGGTTACTCTATTATAGAATAGTGAGTTTGGCTGTTACAGCTAATCTATGTAGAACCTTTTAATCAAAAAACAATGGTGGTTAATTCCTACCTTTAAGCAATTTGAGTCTCTATACTATTTTAATTCAGGATTTTATGAGAGTTTTAAGAATTTATGACTGGTAAGTCAATAACAGAGGTTAAGAAACTCATTTATTTTTTATAAACATGATTAAAAGGAGCAAAAGCAAATGTATAATAAAAAAATGGCTTGCCGAACTACTAGAAGTTTGATCAAGTTAGAAAGATAGAATATGGTCAAAAGGCCTAAATATGATTCTAACGTTTGAAACCTTGTAAGTGTCACATGAATTTTCAGTGTGAAGTGGTTTACATACCTCTGTAGCACTTAGTCCAGTGGGGGGAATGGGTGCAGGGCTCTGACCTGCCAGTGAACAGGGAGAGGGGACACACTGAGTCTTCTGAGAACTCTGCTTTTTCTCTGCATTGCAGAAAGAAGACGGTTTACATTTCCCTTTATGGCCGACTGGTGGGCGAACGTTGGGTAGCAGCAGGATTTGAGAGGAGGTGTCCTGGCAGGGAGGATTTAGGAAGATAGGGAGTGGGGACCCCCGCGGGGTGAGGACAGTGGAGCAGGTCAATCCCAAGGTTGGATCTGACCTCTCAGCAGCTGTGAGTGTCCAAAGAAAACACAGATGTTCCAACAGCCAGCTTCAGATATTGGTCAGAGCACAGAGGGTCAACATACATAGTAAAGGCTTTGCTGAGCATAAGTGATTTCTGCATAAGACACAGCATCCACACTGTGAATGAGTCAACTGAACATGTATGTTTACAGGTTCAACATTTGACAGAACAAAGTCTGTTTAAAACAGAAACAGTTCAATACCAGAAAGTAAAAGAACAAATGTGCAAAGATTCTTCTCAGACCAGTTTTTTTCATATAGTTCAGTCCTTCTAAAATAAGTCACCCTTATTACTTCAATTTTAACAAAGTTTAATTCAATTTCGAAATCAGATTAGTAATTGTGAATGATCTAAAACAATTTCCACTAAAAGAAAAGTCAAAATCAAATTAAGGATACAAATGTGTGATTGAATGAAACCACTGAATTAAAAGACGCCAGCTGACATCAAAGACGTTAAACTATTGTGGTCTCACTCTGATGTTGGTTAAAAGCTTTCCACTCAAACTTACTTCTCATATGTTCAATGGAAGGAGGGGATGTAGAGAAAGAGGTCAGGCAGCCAGCCAAAGAATTCTTCAAAGTGCTCGTTTGTTCTCGACCCTGGAAGACATTTGTCTAATTCAACATCAGAGTTTCCTGAGCAACGCTCCCAGGCGTAACCTGTTGAGGCTGCTATTAAGGCCAGATATTAGCATACATAAAAATGAATTAAAAAAAAGAATCCTTCTCTCACATTTTCTCTATTGTTAGACTCCAGGCTAATAATGCAGTTATTTAAAAATTTTTTTACATTTTGTTTAAAAAAATAATAAACATTCACTAAGATTAATGAATCCCTGAACCTTTTTGACAACATGGTGATGCAATGATGTTTAAAAAGCCTTTGACAACTTCAGACACAACTTTAAAGCACAGTTGTGTGAAAAATTGTTTGCTTTTTGAATGGTTGCCACACTTAAGTGCTTTGGAACATCAAACGAATGTTAAAAATGATCTAAAGACAACATAAGTTAAACAAAACATACAGTTTGTGAATAAGTATTTTCATTATTGAGGGAGGAAAAAAGGCCTGATTACTGCTGTATGAATTCTTCTTCTAAGTGGGATGACTGGCGGATGGCATCAAATGTTTAGATGCGTTATCGCCATCTACTTTGCTGAAGCATGGTCCAGATTCTCAAACAAATATAACTTATATTCTTGCAAATAATCCTGTTTCCCTTAAAAAATCTTACAAATCTTCTACAACTTCATGTTTAACAAATACACCTATAAATGATTTTCACATCGTACTTCCTTATTTCTTGCTTTATGCTCTACTGTTTCTAAATCCATTCTACAATCCCATCTGCCTGTTGGATGTTTAACCAAGATATTTCAAGTTTTATATTACGGTGTCTAATCATAAACGTAGGACTGCTTTTTCTCCAATTTCCTTTGTTTCTCCCGCCATTTTTTTGTATCTTCAATAGATGTCGACCTTTGGTTCCCACCTCCTCAGACCACTGCTGATTCACTTTGTTCTCAAAGGACTATTTGCCTTTTAATCAACGTTTTTGCTAATAAACTGTATAAATAAATGTCTTGTAGTGTTACCTATATGTCAAAGGTATATTTTTGACAGCTTTTATTGTCAGTACACTGTCACAAGTCCAAATGAACTCTCTGCATTTAACCCATCCCCTTGGGGAGCAGTGGGCTGCCATTGTGCAGCGCCCACGGAGTAGTTTGGGGTTAAGGGTCTTTGCTAGGGACCCAGAGTAGCAGGCTGTAGAAGTGGGGCTTTAACTCAAAACCTAGTGGTTAGGGCGCAATGCCTTAACCACTAGGCCGCAACTCCTAATGTTAAAACACCCACCAAAGGTAAAAATGACGTTACTGCATCTGATTTTTAATATTGGCTTAGACAAGGATGGGATTTAATTTAGGAGAACTGAAGTCAGCAGCTCTACCCGCAGCTGTGGTTCAATTAGGGACAGAAGATTCATATTCAATGATTTGGTTATATTGGAAAATTATTTGTTGTTTTCATTGTAAAAGTTAATAAATATTAAATGTATTGAAATTAGATAAAAACAAGTCTGTATCATGTGCCCAGTCTAGTACTATAATCTGACATTAATTTAGTCATTTACATGATCTAAAAGCTACTGAAAAAAAGATTAAGTTTAAAGATAGAAAATATTTAAAAAAAACAACCACAAATGAACAGATTTATCTTTCTGATCTAAAATAATTATTTGGCATCCCTTTTGAATCAATGGGTCACAAATAAGTTATTAGTTTTTGTTTATCGGGGGTGTATGATTCAGATATTATATATTATTGACAGTCTCCATTAGAACCACTTTAAGTGAGGAAAGAAGCAACTGAACCAGTGGCTAAAACCATCATGGCTCATTAATGCTGGCCTCCTCCACAGAACCTTTCTCTCTTTCCCACCCTTTTCTCTGCCTCTAGTGAAGATGGTGGAAAGAAATCCTGCATCTTTCACACATTTCCATCACAAAACAATATACAGCCGGACTGCCAGTGTGCCCATGCCCTCAACCCCTCTCTACGTAACACTTTAACCTGGGTGCACCTTTCTTTAGAGAAATATAAGTGTGCAGATATAAGGCCCTGAGCTGTACTATAATCACAGATTTCCCTTTAGATATCCTAAAAACAGAATCCATAATTCCATCATGATTTCAATTTTCAGATTTCAGTTCAGCTAGAAGATTTGTAACTCAATTTCCTTCTTTTTTTAGAGCAGGAACCTGCATGAATTCAACGAATAAATGAGATAAGAGCAAATAAAAGTGAATACATTTTTTATAATACATCTGTGCAGCTTTTGGATGAGATACCCACAACCAATATCAAAGATGACTGTGAATCTAAGCAGATAAGAACTCCCTCTAACCTGTTTTATTATACCTGCTGTGCGCCATCAAAATTGTAAGTATTTCAACTGTAAGGACAACTAAATGATCAGATGTTCTTTCTTTCAATGATACATTTATTGTAGTTCGGAATGAAAATAGGAGAATCCTTTTTCACCTGAGAAGGAATCCATATAATTATCTGTATATTAAAAGGTATGATCTGTTGATTTTCTGTGATTTACTACATCTATTGAAATTCTATTACACCTTAATTTCTTGATGATATCAAGGTTAACATTAATGCTAAGAAAAATCATGAAGGTGTAACTGAATAGAGCTCTGCAACATTATTTCTCTTCTCTTTTAATCTCATTTCCAGTCCACATTTATTTTCAGCCAACGCCAATACAGTATGTCTACCTTTGCCTTTCCAGCTCCCCATCACGGCTGTAAACTTTTAACTGCTGGATGTATCTCTGAAGTTTGTCCTTGCAGAATTATCCAGCAAATTATTATAACTAAAAAGTAAAGGAAGATCTCTCATTTACACCTTTACTACCACATTTAGATTTTGTATATACCCCACAGCATAATTTCATCACTTGATTGCTAATTACTTATAATTCATGAATCCTTGTTTTTTTCCATACTGCAAATCATAATGACATCAGTGGAGAAATATATACACTTTTAAAACAGTATTATTTGCCCCAAATTTGATCCCATTAAACTTCCCCATTTTTAAATTAATATATTCATCCTTCTTTCTACTTAACACAGCTGTCTTAGTTATGTCTATGATTAATTTTACACCCTAACACACCTGTTCTTGATTAAGAAATAACTTCAATATTACCTGCCTGACAAAATGAAGTGCACCAAAAGATCTTGAAAAGACAGACATCATGCTAAGATCCTAAAAATTAGGGCCAAATGCGAAAGAAAGTAATTAAGATCTATCAGATCTATCTAAAGAGTCCAGTGAACCATGATGCAAGCAGGTATCTACATATTGGGAAAACATTGAAAAGCTGTGAGCTTGAAGTGGCTGACCAAAATTACCCCAAGAGCACAGCAATGACCCATCTAACAGGACACAAAAGATCCAATAACACAGAGACCTCTCACCTTAAAATGCGCTTTTTTGGAATCTGTCAAGCTGCTCCCATCTGCCCGGCTGTGTTTTTCTGCAGGGTGGTCATAGAGGTTATGTTTACTCTTCTTTACAGGTGGATCTTCAGCACAGTTCTCCACTCGCTTTCTCTGCTGCCCAGCAGAACAAATCTATAAACAAACAAACCAAAAGGAATGTTATTCAGATCTGTGATGTTCAACTAGGAATATTAATGCAAGGGTTGCAACATTAGAAGTATGACTTACTACTATTACTTAATTGGAAAGAAATAAAATGTAATATTTACCTCTACTTTGGAGAAGGGACAAGCATCCAACACAGACTGTTTCTCTGATAGTTTCATATCAGTTGGTTGTTTGTGTGCTGTCTTTTTCTTCTTTGCTGTAGCAACCCCATTCACCTTTTCTGGATTCTTTATGTTACAAGTGGATGAATGCTATTTGATGGGCAGAAAGAAAAGCTAATTTGTGAAATCTAACTCTGATTGTGTTATATCATATGTCAAATCTGATATGTTAAAAATAATTGTGTTAATTGAGCATATAAAAGTTTTAATATTTATATACTAGAACAGATATATTTGCTAAAAAAGTTTGTATAAAAAACTGTTTTTTTCACTGTGTAAGAGCAATAAATAAATATGTATTATTTATTTTAAAGCTATAGAACTGTGTGAAATTAAAACAAAAATTTTGAAACTATTTGTCTGCAAAACAGATCAATCAAAACGGTGAAAAATGTTTTGATCAGAGAAATTTACACAATGTGCAAGTGCTTTATGAGATAAACTTGTATTGATTGAAATTTTCTTTGTTTTAATAAAAAATATTAGAAATAAAAAAGCTGTTTTGCCTTGGGTGATGGAGGCTCTTCTGTTTCAGAATCACTCTCATCTGTTTTGGGTTCCTGGTAACTTTTTGTAGTGGTGGCTGCAGCTCTTCTAGGCCTCTTTGTAGCCACTTGTGGTCTGAGATCTGTTACTTGGTTCACTTTCTTTGGAGGATTGATAATCTTCTATAAACAGATTATACTACAGTGACACACAGTGGCAAAAAGTGATAGTGCTGCAACTTCAGGGACGTACTAATGGCCTACCTGAATACGTTTGCTTTCGCCCTTTACACCTTTTGAAGATATTGATTGCAAATCTCGGGGTGTGTCTGGAAATAAACAGAAGATAGATCATAGCACACTTTATGTTAAGAATCATCTATGTCTTTTTTTTTCCAATGATAACTTTTCCTTTAATACATCCAAGTCTATGGACCTGGAGAATGAGGTGGGGCTGTTTTGGGTTTGAGCTTAGCGTGTCTGGTGTACGTAATGACTTGAGCTTTGGACTTTCTGGAGGATTCTTTTAGCCAGCTGATATCTGTCGGGGCATTGTCTGTGTCAGTGTCACTGAACAGATGCTTTTTCACATGTAGCTTCTTCTGCAAGAAACAAGGTGACAACTGCAGATGTAAAAGGTCAAGAAGCAGCCAATCTTGTTCAAACTAAATTATTTTGACTACTCTTTATTAAACACAACCTAAAATCTCAGCTTACCTTTGCCACAGGTTGTCCTTTCTTAGCTGAGGTGTGAATTGTAGAGTTGTTGTAGCCACTTTAAAAACAACAAACATTAATTAAACACATCCTACAACTTTTTTTTTTTTTTTTATCTCAGAAGTCAAACCTCTGAGGATTTCATTTTACCTTAATTATCAAATTCTGTATAAAATAATTAGGTTTACCTGCTTGATTTGGTTTGATTCTCACCCTAAAGTCAAAGAGAACATTTAAAACATTCATAATTACCGACTGCATTGTTCATGTAGAAAACACTACAGCTCAAAATGAATTTATGCCAAATACACTACTTAAAACATCAAGGGAACACTTTTCAGACAGTATAATATTAAGTAATTTAAACATCTGGAACATTAATCTGGTCAGTTTATCAGCAGAGGGAATTGTTAATAATTTGTTTAAGGTCCTTAAACCATCAGCAGGACTGGTCTCTACCTCTTTGGAAAATGAGGAACTGAATGAGCTCTGCCAGGGCCCTATAAATTGATCTCTAGAGTCAAAAGCTTGAATTTCTCTGACCAAACCATTAGAAACTATCTTAATGAGGGTGATCTGAGGGCTTGACATCCTCTAGCAGGCCCTGTGCTTACTGCCCATGTCTGGTGAGCATGGCTGGCATTTGCTAGGGAACAGTAGAATTGGCATTTTGAGCTATGGCACTCTGTTCTCTAAACATATGACAAAATGTTCACTCTGAGCTTGTGTGATACATGTGAAAGACTCAGAGACTTGTAAAGGATAAACAACAGCATCCTGAATTTTATTAGGAATCAGGACCTGACCATGCAGGCGGTTCTAGGTTCCCACTGTAGCACAATTATACCCAGCTTTGTTTGACAAGAGGATGCAGGCAATTACTGGAGGAAGAAGGGATTAAAGCCAATGACTGACCTCCATGGTACCCTGACCTAAATCCAATATCTGTGGCACATCATGCTTAAGTCAATTAGACATCCATATAATGATAGATTGCACCTCAGAGTGTCCAGGAGCTCAGCTGTGCTCTGGTATGGATAACTCGGGACAGGGTCCATCAGTTCATAACGAGCATGGTCTGATACAGGAACATAGGGTAAAACAAACCGCTGAGCGCCATGTCGAGTTCCATTGATCACATTTTAGGAAATTGGACTGGGATGCCAAATCATTTTTTTTTTCTTGATCATAAGATTTAATCATGAAGAAATCTATTTTCATCAAATAATGGGACTCTGTTTTGTTGCTAAAAACAAAACCCATTATATACCAGTATGAATATCCAGGATTTTTAATATTGATATAATTTTAAAAGTGTCCTTTGATTTATTTTGTTTTTAGCAGTGTATTTGGGAATATAGAGGAAGGAAGGAAGGAAGGAAGGAAGGAAGGAAGGAAGGAAGGAAGGAAGGAAGGAAGGAAGGAAGGAAGGAAGGAAGGAAGGAAGGGAGGAAAGGAAGGAAGGAAGGAAGGAAGGAAGGAAGGAAGGAAGGAAGGAAGGAAGGGGGAGATGAGACAACATATGGAAGGAAAGAGGGAAAAAGTAAAGGAACAAGGGTTATGAAAGAATATGTGGAATCCAAGAAAAGAAAAGCATAGGAAAGAAATAAAAATAGAAACAAGCTGTTACCCTAACGGAGATCGGTGAATCAACTTTGAATGCAAAGCTATCATTCCTACAAAACAGAAGAATTAAATACAACACTCTTAATTTTCAACCCCAGGCTTGATCATTTCCCTACAATTTTTCCAGGTTTTTGTCAAACTGTTTCATTACCTGTCAGATCCTCTGGTAGAATTTAAGAGTTTTCCAAGGCTAATGGTTCCAAGTTTGTCTTTCTGATGCATATAAACAATATATTCAGTTAAACAAGCAGAGCAAAGAAGTGCAAAAAGTCAACTCTTAGGTAAAGTCAAGACATTAATTTGAAGACTTACTCTACATGCAGGTATCACCTCCTTGTTAAAGATTGGTCTATCAGATAAAGAAATAAGAACAATCACACAGTATGGTACATATGGTGCTGTTCTATACTAACTGAGATGGGTTGATCTAAAGAGAGAAAATAATCCAGTGTGTTCCTTAATGAGCATACCTGTCTGTTAGCGGGGGGATCCAACTTGGAGAACTTTTATCTGAGCTGTTTTTTCTTAGGGTTTTGGTTTCAATCTCATAATGGCTGGAGATACGCTTCATCATGGTGGCTGTGACATTTGAGTCGCTCTAAATTAAGAGAATGAACGAGAATAATCCGATTAATTAAATAATTATGAATATTAAGAAAGCTTATTGAGATGAATTAAAACATGGAATTCCTACTTTTTCTTTGGTTGAAATTGCAGTTTTTTTGCAACCTTTGGCCTCAAATTCTTTGTGGTCCTCAACAGTTTTATTTGTGCAGGTCTTATCTGAAGCTTTTGTTGGACCAATGTCCACCTGAAGTGACATCTCTTCTCTTTTTGCGTTTTTTGAGAGACTGGTTCTCTGAGTATTTTGTATTTTTGGAACACTCTTGGAACCACGTGTGTTGTATAACTTTGTTTTGTCAGAGCCCCTTTTGGAATCAGAAGTTTTTCTCTGTTGATCAGTTGATTCCTGTCGGGGAGGATCTTTGCTCACATCATTAAGGACCTTCTGAAGGCGCTCAGTGAGTTCATTATGGAATTGCTGTTGGAGCTTAAGACTTGAGGCAGGAACTGACATCCGTCCTGAGGAAGTGCAGTGCTTCTGGGGTTCAAAAGTACCCCAATTAGGCTCTAAATAAAAGAAAAATAATAACACTTATAATTAGATCATCTGCATATTTAAGATTTGTTCATTACTTTAAGTCCACAATGCCTAGAGTAACAGAAATGAGCCATGTTGATATCAACTATTAAATGTCTTTACCCGGTACTGATCCCATTTTCTGAGTTGGCATTGTTAGCATTTCAGACATGGATAATTTGCTCCAGTTTGATTTCCTGCAACATGAAACAACAGACCTCTATTCATATGTTCTATTTATATGAACACTGTTTTTAAATTGCAAAGAGGCGTACTCTTTGACCTACGTGTTACATGCTGAGCTGGGCTGTGTGTCAGGTACAAAATAGGTCTCTGAAAGTAAAGTAGTCAGATAGAGCTTTAGGAGGCTAAACAATTACAGAAATGTTTTGGTAACAAGTTCAAGAGGAGGGAGATGGGGAGTCAATAAGTCATCTCCATGTCAAGTATTTGTTCTGCCACTGAGCCAGATGAGTCCACTTCACTTCACTGTGCAGATTGGACTCACCTGGTCCAGGGGATGGG